TGCAGGTATTTGGCAAGTACGGTCTTTCTATGCACCGAGTGGAAGTTTTCCCCCCTGAGCGGAGGTTTTTCTGTTTCAGACTCTCTCCTTTTCCCCTCTCACTCCCCGTAGAGGGTAGAGGGGGATCGCCTCCCACCCTGGAGTCTCCGATCCAGCCCGATTTTATCTTCCCCAGTTCGCACTCACGTTAGAAGTCTCTCTCAGTGGATTCTGCGTCCTTTTTCTCCCAATCTCTCAGGTTTTGTAAGGTTTCCAATGGCTTCAGATCTTTTCTGTGTGATGTATGGGCGCAAGTGCAAGTACGGAGATCCTTACTTCTCTGCCATCTTTCCCCCTCTTCCAAAAATTTTTTGTATAATAACTCATTTAATACAATTATTCTCTGCAGTAGATATAATTATATTTCCATTTTAAATAAAAATAAACTAAAGCTCATAGACGTTTAATAACATGCAAGAGCTTACTTAGCTAAGTTATGACAGAGCCAGCAGTTAAACCCAAGTACTCTGTCTCCAGATAGCATGATAATAATATGCTGTGTATATGATACATCTTAAGAAGCACAGGGATAGAACTGCTCAGTGCAAGGAGGGTAGAAGTGATGCTGTTGGCTGAACTGAAAGTCTGAATATTAAACTATACAGGATGATGCCGATCCTATTCCCCATCCATATTCTCTAACTTCTTCAGTCCATGTGACTCCAGAATAAAAGACAAAATACTTTTCTACAACTTAGATCAGTTATGGCACTTTCAGCTTTGAGCAACGGAAAACCAGGACCAACTGTCTTAAACAATAAGAAATCTTATTGGCTCCTATGACAGGACATGTAAAAGCAAAGCAGTTGCCAAGCCTAGTATGATCGGAGTTTAGCTTTATTTGAACGCTATTCTTTTTGTTATCTGCTGCCCTGTGGGTTGGCTCAGTTTGAGAGAGCTTTTCTCATCATCCAAAATGGATGAAGAAACAGGGATGCAATATTCTTCCTTGCCTTTTTAGAGGAGGAGAGAGACAAACAGACTCCCCATACTTCTCTCCTAAAACAATAAAAGATTCTTCCAAAAGCCTCCGGAAACTCTCCTCTTGTCCAGAATTAGGTCCCTTGCCCGTTCTTAAAACAGTCACTAACAAGGCGGATGAGATCATATTGCAAGATTAGAATTAATTAAAGATCACTCTGAAAGTGGAAATGAGGCAAGTTTACATGAATGGCAAGGACTGTTTGGAAGAGGGATAGTATGTGAATAAAACCAGACTTCTGCTAAGAATGTTAAAAGGTAGATTACTGCTGGGTTGAAATTTGTAATGTTCAATAGTATACAAATAATACTGTGTAGTAACTAACATTAATAATAGTATATACTTATAATAGCACACTATAGTATATATACTAATAGTAGTATATATGTTGTATATAAATAATATAAATAAAAAGTATAAAATTTCAGAACAACAAGTTAGTGAGAAAATAATGAAAGCACCAACCAGGTAAGAAATAGGTAACAATTTTTTTTGACTAGTATCACATTTCCATCCAGTAATACTGAATACTAGAAGAGTGATACTTTCTTGAATTTAACAAGGGAAGACATGATTTTTAAACTTAGAATTGTATTCCCAGCTAAACTATCAACCAAAAATCAGAGAAAAATAAATACATTTTCACATACATGAAGGTTCAGAACTTTTATTTCATATGTACACACTCCAAGGAGGTTATTTAAGGATATACTACAGAAAAATAAGAGTGAAAAAAGAAAAGAGAAAAATTATAGAATACAACTAATAAGAACCCCTGAAAGTTAGATGCCAGTGGGACTGGAATACAAGGATTGGTGCAAAGTGCTTTTAAGAATCAGATATCCCTAATTTTTATCCTATACCCTACTGCCTGTTATCAACTTCTTTATACCTGCATAGACACTGACACTTATATTCTAGGGTAAACTTGGAGTTATTCTGTATTTTGTATTCAGTGATATTAACTGGGGTGGGAATTCTATACTGAAAGGAGAGATGAAATAAAAGTCTATACACAAAACAGTGAGATACTAAAGCTCTTTCCCTGGCTGAGTATTTATGAGGCTGAATATAGCAGGATTTCTCTCTGGAGAGCATGTTGAACACAAGAGAAAAATACTTAGAGGTATAGACAAGGAAGTCCAGTGGCAAGGTCCCTGCCTTACCACCCAAAGGCCACAATATGACAAGTACTTCTCAAACCCCATTCTATCAATACACACAAACTTCCAATTAGGTTTTTTAGTGTCTCAGTCATATTAGAAATAGAAAATCAGAGATAACCAAAGATGTATGGAAAATTCTAACATTAAAGACAGATGCTAAATTGTATGAAAAAACAAACAAACAAAAGCACTAAGGAAACAGCAAATTCACATGAAACTGAAGAAAACTTATAATTACTGGACTCAGAGAGATGAAAAAGAGGGAATAAAGATAGCATGCTGATAAAGAACTGTTTAGAAATAAAAAATTAAGTCAAAGGAATTAAAATATGATCACATAAATAAAAATTGCAGTGAAGATTCAAAGCACAAAGCTAAAGACATTTTCCAAAAAACAATAAAACTGGCAAACAGAGAAAAGGAAAAGATCAGAAAATGGTACTATCCATTCAAGGAGGCCCAAGATAATAACAATTCCAGGAAAGGAAATAATACAAAGAAGTATCTCAGAACTGATGGCATAAGTTTCTAGAATGAAATGGTTCAGTGAGCGAATGGGAGGGATTCTCCGTAAATGAGTCGACAGTGCAACATATTTTCACATTATGAAATTCTAGAGGACTGAGGGTAAAGAGAAGACCCTGAAAGCTTCCAGTGTCAGCAGCAGGGAAAAAAAGCAGGCTACATGCAGATGGTAAGGAAATAGTTCAGCATCAGACTTCTCAGAATGACACTGGAAGATAGAAATCAATGAAACACTATGGTTAAAAAGTAAGGGAGTTGCTTGTATTCCCCCCACTAACAATTTAGCATCCATCCACAGAAAAAAAATTTGCGGGAGCCAGCACCATAAGCCAAGGGACCCAGGAGATGTCTTACTCACCTACTCATTGTATAATAAGCAAATAGACCTTGGTCCTGGCTATGAACACAGAGGGGTCCATGAACTGGCTCAAGTCCCTCTTGCCTGCAGTCTAGTAGCTCTGCTGAACACTGACTTAGACAGTCACCAACAGATGAGAAAGTCTTTGTGGAAGTCCAGGGTTCCAGCAGAGAAGTTCCAGCACACTGTTGGAGTAAGAAAATCAGAGATTGTTCAAGTTGAAGAGAGTAAGAGGAACAGTTTGACATTACTCATGTCACCTGTCTTCCAAAGTGGCACAGCTAGTGACAGGAGAACCCTTCTCAGCCTATGATTTGTCTTGTGGAAGAAAGTGAGAACATATGAATGAATGCTTGGCTTCCCCAGCTGTGGGGGATGCTGCCAGAGGCATATTTCTCTCTCACCCCATCCAGGGTACTGCCTCATGGATTGAATGACTGGGAGTGATAAGCAGCTAGGGAAACAACAGTGAAGGTTTGGAACACGTCAAAGGAACACAGATCCTACTAAGTGCATTATGGACTCCATCAGGAGTTCCACCTCATAGCTGATGAGACACCTCACCTGTCAATCCGCCCAGTGGGCCATGGGCATCCACAGTACTCTGTGAACTGCCCCTACCCACACTTGCACCCCACGGGCAGCTCTTTGTATGTGTCCCTGACAGTAGCATGAGTTAGCTTTGGCAGACAACTAGTGAGCGTGCACAGAAAGCTGGACTGTATCTGTGAGTCAGGAAAAGACCAAAAACTTGAAAATTTAGCATTGCCTTTGAGAAAGTAAAAGGGAGTCTGTCAGCAATTGGCCTGGCGTGCAGCAGGATCAAAAAAAAAAAAAAAATACAAGCTTAAGAATTTGCCACAGACTTTAAGAAACAAAACAGACGCATGTAGGGGAAAGAGAGAGAGGCAAACCATAAAACAGACTCCTAACTGTAGAGAACAAACTGAGGGTTGCTAGAGGGGAAGTGGGTGGAGAGTTGGGCTAAATGGAAGATGGATATTAAGGAAGACACTCATTGTGATGAGCCCTGGATGCTATATGTAAATGATGAATCACTAAATTCTACTCCTGAAACTAATACTATACTATATGTTAACTACCTAGAATTTAAATAAAAACTTGAAACAAACAAACAACAAGAATCTGCCACAAGAGGGAGCAAGAAGTGTGGAGCAATGTGTATCCAAGAAGATCTGAGAAAGCCGCAGAATCCCTGGTAGAGCTGAGTGAAGATGCTTCTTTTCCAAAGTTATTCAGCAAAGAATGGAGGAGGTGACTACCACTTTAAATGGAAAGACAACAGGGCAAGACTTCATGGAACATGAAGAGTCTTGGAACACGGGAAGTCATGGAAACATGACATTACAAAGAGATCACAATAATTTTCCATTAATCAACCCCAAAGACACAGAGATCTGCAATTTATCCAACCAAGAATTCAAAATGAGCTACAAGACAACACAGAAAGACAGTTCAATGATATCAGGAAAACAATGTGGAAATAAAATGAGAAGTTTTTTTTAAAGATAGAAATCATTTAACAAAACATTCTGAGGTGAAGGATACAATAAATGAAAAATGCAATAGAGAGCCAAAATCAAAATGGATCAAGCAGAAGAAAGAATCTGAAATTGAAGACAAAACTTTTTTTTTTTTTTAAAGACTATGATCTTTTCAATGATCTTTTCAGAGAGAACAAAGAAAAAAAGAATCAAAAAGAGGGAAGAAAGCTTATGTGATCTATGGAATACCACTGAACAAACCAATTTGAGAATTACTGGAGTTCAAGGAGAGAGGAAGAAGGGGGCAGAAAATTTATTTTAAAAAAATAATGGCTATATGCTTGCTTTGTCAGCACATATACTAAAAGGATATGTGGACTGATACAGGGAAGATTAGCTACAGCCCCTGCACAAGGATGACATGAAAATTCATGACATTCCAGATTTAAAAAAATAATAATAGCTGAAAAACTTCACATCTGGAGAGAGATTTGGCCATCCATGTTCATGAAGCTCATAGGTCCCCTTAATGAACTTCGAAACATATTCTCCAAGACACATTATAAAAACTGTCAGAAGGTGGCTCAGTTGTTTAAGCTCAGAGTCTTGAATTTGGCTCAGGTCATGATCACACAGTTCGAGAGTTCAAGCCCTGCATCACGTTCTGCTCTGACAGCACGGAGCCTGCTTGGGATTTTGTCTCCCTCTCTTTCTGCCCCTCCCCTGCTTATTCTCTTATCTCTCTCTCAAAACAAATAAAAATAAAATTTAAAAAAATAATAAAATAAAAGCTGTCAAAAACTCAAAGACAAAGAATCTCACAAGCAGGAAGATAAAAGAAGCTTATCACTTACAAAGGAACCCCCCATAATGCTATCAGCAGACTTCTCGGTAGAAAACTTATAGGCCCGGAGAGAGTGGGGCGATATATTAAAAATGCTGAAAGAAACAGATAACTGCCAAACAAAACTACTCTGTGGATCAAAGTTGTCCTTTAGAAATCAAGGAGAGATAGAGACATTCTCAGACAAACAAAAGTTGAAGGAGTCTATCACCAGTAGACCTGACTTCAAGAAATCCTAAAAGGAGTGCTTAAAGCTGCAATGAAAAGGCACTAATTAGTAACCTGAAAACAAATGAAAATAGCAATACACTGGTAAAGGTAAATATGTAATCAATCTCAGAATATTACAACATTGTATATGGTACTGTGCTAACCACCTAATTCTAGCAAAAAAAATATTAAAGGACACAGGCATTGAATATAACAATAGCTACAATAATTTGTTAGTTAACATGTAATATAAAAAAGGTAAATTGTAAAATAAAAAATTAAATGAGGAGAAAAAAGAAAAATTTTTGTATGTAATTGAAGTTAAGTTGCTGTTAGCTTAAACAGACTGTTATATCTATAAGATGTTTTAGGTCAGCCTCATGATAACTGCAGAGCAAAAACCTACAGTAGACACACAAAAATGAAAAGAAGGGAATCAAAGCATTTACCATTATGGAAAACCATCAATTCACAAAGAAAGACAGCTAAAGAGGCTGAAAGGAACAAGGAAACTGTAAGAAAGCCACACAACAATATTATGGAATAAGTAAGTTTTCACTTATCAATAACTATGCAAAATGTAAATGAATTAAATTCATTAATCAAAAGACAAAGTAGCTGAATGGAAGAAATAAACAACACCAACAAAAACCAAGAAAAAATTATATGCTCCCTTACAGAGACTCACTTCAGCTTTAGGGACAAATAGGTTCAAAGTGAAGGGATAGAAAAATATATTTAATGCAAGAAGAAACCAAAGGAGAGTAGGAATAGCTATAATGGTATTAAACAAAATAGACTTTAAAAAGTTGTAAAGATACAGCGAGGGTCATTATTTAATAATAAATGGAGTAATTCATCAAGAGGATATAACAATCTTGAATATACATATGCCCAACATTTTAGTCTATAAATATATCAAGCAAATACTAACAGATCTGAAGAGAGAAACAGACAACAGTATAATAATAACAAAATAATGGACATCAATATCCCACTTTCAACAATGTATAGATCATCCAGACAGAAAATTTATAAGGAAATGTCATACTTGAACTATACTTTAGACCAAATGAACCTAACAGACATATACAAAATATTCCATTGAACAGCATCAGTATACATATTCTTCTCAAATATACACAAAAAATTCCTCCAGGATAGAACATATGCTAGTTCACAAAACAAGTTTTAGCAAATTTAAGTACACTAAATCATATCATTGTGTCATATCATTGGGTCTAATGATCTGAAGATAGAAACCAATAACAATAGGAAAGTGGACAAATCCACTGTGATATGGAATTAACACACTCCTGAACAACTGATAGATCAAAGAAATTAAAATAGAAAAAAAATACCTTGAATCAAATGAAAATGGAAACTCCGCGTACTGAAATTTATGGAATATGACAAAAACAGTTCTAAAAGGAAAGTTTATAGTGATAAATCCCTACATTAAGAAAAAAAAAGAGCTCAAATATATAATGTTATTTTATATCTTAAGGAACTAGAACTTTAAATCTAATTTTATATCTTAAGGAACTAGAACTAGAGAAGAATAAGCACAGGGTTAGCAGAAGGAAGGAGATAGCAATCATCAGAGTAGAAATAAATGAAATAGAGAAAAAAGAAAGAAGGATAGAAAAGATCAATGAAACTAAGATCTGTATTTTTGAAAACATGATGAAAGTTGACAAGCCTTTAACTGTACTAGAAAAAAGAGAAGAGTCAATTAAGTGAAAGCAGAAATGAAAGAGTATCCTTACAATGGATACTGCTGAAGTTCAAAAAATAGTAAGACACTAATATGAACAGTTACATGCTAATAAATTGGATAACCTTGGGGCGCCTGGGTGGTTCAGTTGGTTAAGCATCCGACTTCGGCTCAGGTCATGATCTCATGGTTTGTGAGTTCAAGCCCCGCATTAGGCTCTGTGCTGACAGCTGAGAGCCTGGAGCTTCCTTCAGATTCTGTGTCTCCCCCTCTCTCTGCCCCTCCCATGCTCATGCTCTGTCTCTCTCAGTCTCTCAATAATAAATACAAATATTTAAAATTTTTTTTAAAAATTGGATAACCTAGCAGAAATGGATAAAATCCTAGAAACAGACAGTCTTCCAGGGCTGAATAATAAACTGAAAATATGAACAGACTAAGTTTTAGGAAGAAAATTGAATTAACAATCAAAAACTTTCCAACAAAAGAAAGTCCAGGACCAGAGGGTTTCACTGGTGAATTCTACCAAACATTAATGCCAGTCTTTCTTTAACTCTTTAAAAAAACTGACAGGAGGCTTCACTCCCAAACTCATTTTGTGAGAACAGGATTACTCTTTTTTTTTTTTTTTAATTTTTTTTTTAATGTTTTACTTATTTCTGAGAGAGAAAGACAGCGTGAGCAGGGGAGGGTCAGAGAGAGAGGGAGTCACAGACTGAAACAGGCTCCAGGCTCTGGCTGGCAGTCAGCACAGAGCCCGACGCGGGGCTCGAACCCACAAACCGCGAGATCATGACCTAAGCGAAAGTCGGACGCTTAACCGACTAAGCCACCCAGGGCCCCCTGAACAGGATTACTCTTATATGAAAGCCAGAAAAGGATACTACAAGAATAGAAAACTACAGGCCAATAGCCTCGATGATATAGATGCAAAAATTCTCAACAATATATTAGCAACTTAATTCAACAGCACATTAAAAGAATCATATACCATGATCAAGTATGATTTATCTATAGAATTCAAAGATGGTTCAATGTGCACAAATAAAGAACTGTGATTCACTATTAGGAGAATGAAAGATAAAATTTAAATGATTATATTAACAGATGCAGAAAGAGCATTTAACAAAATTAAACATCCTTTCATGGTAAAAGCTCACAACATTTTGAATATAGAAAGAATATTCCTAGGGCTCCTGGGTGGCTCAGTCGGTTAAGGGTCTGAATTTGGCTCAGGTTATGATGTCATGGGTTCAAGTTCATGGGGTCAAGCCCCGCATTTGGATCTGTGCCGACAGCATGGAACATGAAGCCTGCTTCGGATTCTGTGTCTCCCTCTCTCTCCCCTCACCCACTCATGCTCTCTCTCTCTCTCTCTCAAAAATACATAAACATTTTTTTTAAAATGAAGGAATATTCCTCAGCATAAGTAAGGTCATATATGAAAAGCCCACAGCTAACATCCTACTCAACGATAAGAGGTTGAAAGTTTTTCCTCTAAGATTAGGAATAAGACAAGGGTGCCCACTTTTATGATTCCTACGCAACATAAAACTGAAAGTCCTAGCAATTGGTCAAGAAAATGAAATGAAAGACCTCCAAATCAGAAAGAAGGAAGTAAAATTGTTTCTGTTTGCAGAAGATATGATCTTATGTATGGAAAATTCTTTTTTTAATTTTTTAAAAGTTTATTTCTGAGAGAGAGAGAGAGACAGCGTGAGCAGGGGAGGGTCAGAGAGAGACAGAGATACAGAATCTGAAGCAGGCTCTAGGCTCTCAGCTAGCTGTCAGCAGAGAGCCCGACACGGGCTCAAACCCACAACTGTGAGATCATGACCTGAGTCAAAGATGGACGCTTAACTGACTGAGCCACCCAGGCGCCCCTTGTATGGAAAATTCTTAAGGTTTCACTAAAAACTGTTGGGACCAATACAAAGATTCAATAGAGTTGCAGGTTATATAATCAATATACAAAAATCAGTTGCATTTTTAAACACTAATAATGAACTACTTGAAAAAAAAATAAGAAAATAATCCCATTTACAATAGCATAAAAATACTTTGGAATAAATTTAGCCAAGGAAGTAAAATATCTGTACGGTTAAAATTATAAGACATAGATGAAAGAAATTGAAGAAGACACAAATAGATGTAAAGATATCCCATGTTCATGAATTAGAGGAGTTAATACTTTTTAAATACCCATAGTACTCAGTCATCTATAAATTTAATTCAACTGTTATCAAATATTCAATGACATTTTTACAGAAATAGAAAAAAAATTCCTAAAATTCATAAGGAAACCACAAAAAGACCCCAAATAGCCAAAACAATTTTGAGGGGCACCTGGGTGGCTCAGTCGGTTAAGCATGTGACTTTGGCTCAGGTTATCATGTTGTGGTTTGTGGGTTCAAGCCCCACATCGGGCTCTGTGCTGACAGCTCAGAGCCCAGAGCCTCCTTTGGATTCTGTGTCTCCCTCTCTCTCTGCTGCTCTCCTGCTCATGCTTTCTCTCTCTTGCTCTCTCTCTCTCAAAAATAAATAAACATTAAAAAAATTTTTTGAGAAAAAAGAGCAAAGTTGAAAGCAGTAGACTTTGTGATTTCAAACTAAATTAGAAAGCTGTAGCAATCAAAACAATATGGTACTGGCATAAAAACAGACATATAGGCCAATAA